TGCTTGCAGTCGACCAGTAACGTGTGGATGACCCACGCGGAGATGGAGTCCCTGAACGCCGCCACCAAGCCTCCGGTTAGTGCCCAGCTGCCCCGTCTCTGTCTGACAAACCCCCTGTTTTGATTATTTTACTTGAACAGTTTCGTCTGGTCTGAATCACGTTGATGAGTCTCTCCCCTTCCTCCTCCTCCTCCTCCTCCTCCTCTTCTTCTTCTCTGTATTTCTTTTCGTCTCTCTCTGTGTCGTGGGCCCAGGCCATAGTGTCGAGCATCTTCTTCTTCTTCTCTCCCTGTGTTTGCCGTTTCAGTGTGAACTGCTTCCAACTAATTACCCGTTCACTAACACACTGTTCCTCCCTTTTGTCCTCTTTTCCTGCTGCTGCTGTCGCTGCTTCTCCTCCATCATCCTCCATCCATCCATCCATCCACCCTGCCTCCCTCTCCCTCCTCACCATCCTCCTCTCTCCGGCTTCGTCTCTCTCTCTCTCTTTCTCTGTCTCTTCTCTTGGCGCTGCAGGAGCTGAAGGAGTTCAGCTGGGATCAGGTGAGGATCAGCTGCACTTTTTTTTTTTTTTTTGTCCTGAAAGTCAGAATTAACACAACATATTTGTCTGTAATTTTCATCCGGGGTGAGAGTCACTGCGGTGACTCATGACTTGCACCAGAAATCAAGCCAAGCGTGAATCAGCGTTGATCATCTGCGGTTGTCGTCCCCCTCCAGATACTGGCCTACGGCGATATGAATCACGAGTGGGTGGGCAACGACTGGCTGCCCAGCCTTGGCCTGCCGCAGTATCGCAGCTACTTCATGGAGTCCCTGGTGGACGCCCGCATGCTGGACCACCTGACCAAGAAGGAGCTGAGAGGACAGCTCAAGATGGTGGACAGCTTCCACAGGTAGAGATGTAAACTCACGTGTTGTCGCCTCTCGTGTTCGCGCTCTTCACCGATGACTCTTTGTGTGGCATGAGAAGGTGTGAAAACGGCTCAGGTGTGTGTCTCCAGGCTTCTCTCTTTACAAGACTCACAAAGGGTCAAAGGTGTTGGATTGTTAATGCTTTCTGAGTACATGTGAGAGTGGAAACACGTCCCAGGTTAACCTGCCTTGCACCGCTGACCCTCTCTGGTTCTTTGAACTCTCCCAGGGTCAGTTTGCATTATGGCATCATGTGCCTGAAGCGCCTGAACTACGATCGCAAGGAGCTGGAGCGGAGGCGAGAGGAGAGCGCCCACCAGAACAAAGGTGACCTCCTGCTTCTCTGCCATTATCTCATCATTCACGCCCCACATGTGGGACGGTTTCAGCACTGACTCCTGTGACCCTGTAAAACCAACTAATTAGTCCATTCATGCTGCGCTGTTGTCTTGTTCAAAGTATACCTCAGTGACTCACTTATTAGTCACTTATTTTCACAGTTATTGCTTTTATTGAGCCATTGCACATTATCCTGCATTTTACTATCACTTTGTCATTTTTATTAATTGTATTATTTATTACGTCACGTACAGGCAAATACTCAACATGTGGACATACAGGACACAGAAATGCAGTTGCAGTGATAAAGCACTTATCAGACATGAAAAGATTTGTTGCCTTGATGTCTGCATTTTTTAAGTTTTGGTTCATTAATATCCACGTTTTTGACAGTTTGGTGAACTAATATTCAGATTTTGACATTTTTGTGCCGTCATATTTAGGTTTTTTACGGTAATTTTGCAGGTTTTTGATGGTTCGGTGCACAACATTCAGGTTTTTGCAGTTTCTGTGTGATAATCTTAAGATTTTTTGACATTTAATTGTTTTATTTTTCAGTTGTTTCTTTTTTTTATGTTTTGGTGTGTTATTATACCGATTTTTGACTTTTTGATGCAATAATCTCCAGTTTTTTTTACATATTTTATAAATACGGCTGATGTTTTGTTTTTTTTTGTAAAGAATTTTCCGTCCAAAAAGACTGATTAGAAATTAGCGACCTTTTACTAACAAATATAACCCTTACATTTCAGCTTAAATGTGACCGAATTCTTACAAAGAACTTTTATCTACAGAAAGACTATTAAAGCTGAACTTTTGTATCCTCTGCCCATAAGATTGCATCATCTGCGTAAAGTCGTATAAATCATCTATTCAGCTTACAAGGTAGTAATGGAGGAGCTCATTAATTTATATAAATAGACATTGTAAATAAACAGAGTTGGTGTTATTACAAGTTATTGCATTATTAGTAGGTAACAAAACTCTTAAAAAGCCAGCAGACATAAAAGGAGAACAGAAAATGCTCAATAAACCATTAAAATAATTTACTTTCTTACATTCGCTTAAGGACATAAAATAAGAAACCCTTAATAATGTCAAACATTTCCTTTGATTTCTCCTGTTTCCCACCTTCCTGGGAGATGTTTGGACCACCCATTGGTTATTGTTTTTCCCCTCATCCTACTTAGCAGAGATTATGAGACACCGCCTTCTAGCTTGGTTTGGTAATGATTACACAAATGTCAGCAAGTTCAGTCATTAAGCAAACCTAAATCTCCTGCCCTCCATCCGCTGTGCTTTGGGATGCACATGTTGTGCATTTACAGTCAGTCCATCTTGGCTTCATCCTTGGAATAATTATACAGCTGAGGAGATTAACGGATTCTTGGTTTGTGTGATGATAAGTTTAGCCTGTTTCTTCCAAATGCAGAAAATAAAATACTATTTATCAGGATTTAACAGCTCAGCTAAGCAGACCTGCATGTTTATGGGTCCAGAAGTGAATACAATATTAAGAAAGCTGATAAAAGCAGTGAGCAGAGGGCTTACTGTTTGCAGATGGATGCCTTCCTTCCCTCCCTTCACCTTCTTCCCTTTTTGCCTCCCAGATGTGATGGTTTGGTCCAACGAACGTGTCATGTGCTGGGTGCAGACGATCGGTCTGAAGGAATACGCCGACAACCTCCGTGAGAGCGGCGTCCACGGAGCTCTGCTGGCTTTAGACGACACATTCGACTACACCGACCTGGCGCTGCTGCTGCAGATCCCAAATCAGAACACACAGGTGATGGACTGGGAGCCAGGGTCGCTGATGAAAACACTTTCTACATCAATAGGCTCTATAGTAAACACAGTGACCTGGTATTCATCCTAACTAGTAACCTATTGGATAGTCTGTGTTCTCCTGAAGGGGGATTCGTTTCCTGTTCCAACCCAAACATATAGATAACCAAACCACAACATGTAACACACAACATGATTTTCTCTGTCATATGCACATAATTGCAAACGATTATGGGTCTTACTGTGCTCAGAGCTGCAATGACAGAGAGGACAACACTTCTGCATGTGCAAGTTTTACCACATATGAAAGCACTCAGCTTTAAATAATAACACTTCACTAAATTTGTTTGTCATATGCGATTCATTTTCTTTTGTGCTGAATGCAAGATGTCTTCTTGACATAAAGGTTTCAAGTTTCTACAGCACACTTTTCTAATTTACATAATAGATCTTAAAATGAGATTTCAAATAAAGGCGGACATTTTCCAGTATCAAAGCTCAGACATCCAAGTGAAACAACAGTAAGTAAAACACATTTTTGACTGACAGAAAACTTTAACTCAACTTTAGTCGATATCTTGCAATTTGACTATATAGTCAGGCTTTTGTCAGGCCAAGGCTTTAAAGAGCTACTTGCAGATTTGCACAACATTTATACCTAATATTTCTTCGCCAGCTATTTGGATAATAGAATAGTCAATTTGAGTTATTTTTTGTGGGAAAAAAGTTTAAATTCTCTGATTCCAGCTTCATAAATGTGAATATTTCTCTTTCTTACCTTCTTTGCGACAGTAGACTGACTATCCGTAGGTTGTTGCCCAAAAGAAATTTGTCATCTTTTTTTCTGACTTTTTATTGACCAAACAAGTAACTGACTGATCGAAAATGAAAGTAATTGTAAGTTGCAGCCCTATTTGGAAAGTCAGGACATTGACTCCGCAGTTCTCCTAAAAGGAAAATAATGGAGCTAGCTTTCCTGTTTGGGTGTATTTTGTGCAGGTGAAGAGACAAGACTTGATATAATATTGACAATATTAGGTGGATATTGTCCAAAGTCCCTTCTTTTAAATCAATACAATGGTTTTATTTCCTAAGATAGAAAGAAATAGGACCAAATCTGCTTTGTGGACAAAAGCGTTCAAAGTAAAAATGCAGGGGTTTTGATTTCAGCCATGAAAGTCCAACCTTTGTTGGGAACCTTTGTTGCATCTCCATCATTTCATGTCATCTGTCTGCTTTCTGTAATAATGGTTTGAAAACCCCGGCAACCCTTAACAGAAAAAACAACATGGATTTAAACCTTTGGAACCCCAAAACGTACTGGTGGATTTTAAGGGAAAAGACATGTTACCTTAAAACTTAACCAAAATTAAGCTTAAATCGATGATATTTCACCTTAACCCATGATGAGAAATCTGCCAAAAATAAACCATTTTAAAGAACTAGATTCTGTAAAAATAAAATAAATCATTCAGCATTCCTCTTTGCATCCATTACGCCATTTGTGACTCAGCTATGCTCAGTAGTGATGTGAAAAAAAGTGAGGAACTTTTCAACTGGGTTGAACTGCAGGCAGTGTTTACCCATAGCAGATAGGCAACAAGTACAGAATCAAATTAGAAATAAATACCAGTAGTATGTAGATCCACCATATTATTTTCTAGTGATGGTAACAACTATTGACACCAGGAAAAATGTAGTGCATGTTGATTTCAGTTTATTCAGATTTTGTAAAATGAATAATGATACTGCACTTAAGAACATTTTTGAGATCTTTCTACTTCTAGCAATTGTTGTGCTGTTTCCATAGAAGTGCAGGACTTTATATTGCAGTGAAAAATGAGCCCAGAGTGAGTAAAAATGTAACAGGAGCAAAAAAAAAAACAACAAAAAAAAACAGCCAGAAATTGCTTAGGGTTCAGAGGGCTTAAGCAGGCGTGATATTAAAACAAGAACTAATGAATGCCATCACCACAGAGTCATCTTGAAAATGTGTCCAAACCAATCTTAAAGCTCTGCATCACCTCTGTCCTGCAGGCCAGACAGCTCCTGGAGCAAGAATACAACTCCCTCATCTCCATGGGAACAGAGAGACGGCCTGATGAGGTCAGCCTGCTCATCTTTTTGAGAAAAATAAACAAGTTTGAGGTTTGCACGAGCGGCCATCTTTTGGTTCACACACTCTGTCCATCGTGTCTGGCAGGATGGAACTAAGACGTTCACCCGCTCGCCCTCCTGGAGGAAGATGTTTAGGGAGAAGGACCTTCGGGGCGTGACCTCTGACTCCGCCGAGACGCTGCCTGCTAACTTCCGTGCCTCAGCCATCTCCACGCCCTCCGTTACCCTGAGAAAGGTCCAGAGTGACGGTGAGTAGGAGCCGCGACCTCTGACACCTCCCGCTCTCATATTCGCGTTTGTTCAGCCCCTGCGAGCCCCTCGAGGCGCTTCTCAATTTAGACGATGTGTGAAAACCTGTTACTCTATATGGCGTTGCTTCACATGAAGAGCACGTCAGGAATCGGAGCAAAAGGTCGCGAGCTGCGATCAGGTGCAGCGGCTCTCTTCACAAGTGAGTCGTGTGTTTACGTCTTTTAATTCTTGGGACTGTGCCTCAAACAGAAGCATTTGTCTTCAGCCAGCAGATGTTATATAAGACGCTGCCAATGCAAAGCCACAATCGCATGCACGGAGCAGTTGGTTGCTTTCATGCTACTCTGCTATTAGTTTGCCAGTGGAATTTTCTGTTTCCTTTAACGGAGGAACTGACAATAACAAGGAACAGACGCTTCAAAGTACAGAGGAAGACGATTATCCCTCATTCCACTTCATAATAGCAATGCCTCTGGAAGGTCAGTGCCGTTTAAGACGCTGCAGGTACGATAATAACCCCGTCTGTGTTTGTCTCTCGGTCTGCTTCACAGCCAGCTCTGGTGCCCGGGGTGAATCTGCCTCAGTGAGGACGTACTCCTGTTGAGGGGCTGAGGTGAGAACCGCTTTAATTAAAACTGTCTCATCCTTGCAGAGTTTCATCTGAGACAAACAGTTTCTCTCAAGCGTCGGAGATGGCTTGCACATGTGTCAAGCACATCTCTTTGAACCTTGTTTTATGCATTTGTTTGTCGTAGCGGATTGGTTTAAGCCTGGGATTTTAGTAGTTTTCCCCTAAGGTCTTTAAGTGGTTGGTTTGGTTAGTGGGGATTTAAGCAGAGTTGAATCAAGGCCACGGAAGCAGTGACGTGGCAATAACGTTGTTTCTCTCCTCAGGGCGCCGACTGGATTGGACTAGAGGACCCTCTCGCTCATCCGCGGAGAAAGAAGCAATGAATATATCCATTTAACTTAAAAATAAATCTATCAGTCTGACCATTCTGCAATAACAGAAGCGAAGGAATGAAAGGGGGAAAATTAAGAACGTATGAATGTATTTTCCGACCAGATCAGTGGGAAGGTTGACTGCTGTTTTCTCTCTCCGCCTCTCTCCTCCTGTCTTTGCTCTTCCTCTCTGTGAATTCAAAGGAAAACGCCGGCGTTGGTCACTTCGGTGCAGGTTTCACCTCTTTTCATTCCTGTCTGCACACAGTCGGCAGAGTTGGCAATATCAGGGCTCATTTTCCTCCCTTCAGAGGAAACCACTCGCTGCCATTTATTGTCTTACAGTTCGAAAAACAGATCAACATGTCGCCTTACGACTTCTGCTCGGCAGCAGGTGTTTTTAACGAGGGCCGGGGCAGAAGTTAACCTCACCGTAAAGATTTTAAAACCGGGAAGGATGTTTTGGGAGGGGTGGAATGGTTAGATAGACGTGTCATAAACAACACCGGTGTTCTCCTTCCTGATGAAGAGTCGGCCGGTGTCCAGTGTCAGCCATTGTGGCTCCACTGTCGGCCTCTATGGGCCTGTCAGGGGCGTCTAAGTGTCCCCAATTGGTCGGGGTGGTGTTGTAAAACATCTGAATTCAGCTCCGGCCACATCAGAGGGACCCTCCTCACGCTTTGTCTGCTGGCACCTTGAAAGCCGATAGTCTGAGTAATCTCTTTTGAAAGGAGCCCATTATGGAGATCAAAGCGGCGAGCTGGATGGGATGGAGGCGGAGGAAGGCCACGGAGGCATTGTGTTCGATGACTTCATGATGTCGGTGGTGGCAGGACGTCAATTAGGTTAGTGTTGGTACCACTTTCTAAGAAGGCGCTCATTACCAAGGGTTTATAAGTTCTGGCTTTATTGAAGTTAAAGGGGCACTTAACTGTAATCACGACACTCAACCTGTCCAAACAGTTCTGTGGTTACCTCATCCCTGGCTCGAGACTTTTTAACAGAGATCCTGCATTACATTCGAGTGTTGAGATGGGAGGGCTCACTGAAAGAAGCTTAGCTGTGTTTCAATATAACTGTAAAGCTAAAGTAAAGCTAGCTTTTGAAATGTTGCAAAAAAATTAGTTAACAAAGAAAATGGCATTGAAGCTTGTTAAGCGCTTTAGAGTGAACGCTTAGTATTGTCAGAAGGTGGCAGTGTAGGCTACATTAGCTGTAATAAACACAGTAGAAGAAGCCACTAAATAAATCTCAAAGTTGAAGAAACAAGTAACATACCACCTATGAGAAAAAACATTGATAAAAGTCTTGAGGAATTGTTTTCAGTCTGCAGAGTTTCTTTCATGTCAGCTGGTCTCGGTTAATTTCATGCTATTCGGAGATGAAAAAAACTAAGACATAGAAACAGCTAAAAAGTTGTAAAAAATAAATGTTCACTATGTCAGAACTTATTCCGAAAAGGTCTTTTCATCTCCAATGAAGCATTAACTTCCAAAAAAATGCAAAAAACCAACTCAAAACCTTTTTTTTCTGTTTGTTTTTTGCAACATTTGCTACAAACTACATTTCCATTGACTTTTTTCTACTGCGATACTTCAAAATGCACGCAGAAATACGGAATGATTTTAACCCTTGAGTCGGGATGTTCCTAAACTTTTCTGTCCCTGACTCCAACTATCACCAGAGGCAATTAAATTTGACTATTTTTATTGTTAGCAGCAACTACAGCTAAAATATGCTATTTCCAATTTTTATGACCTCCACTTAGTGTCTCCTGACTCCTCCAGGGGTATTGACCCACAGGTTGGGAACCACTGCTCTAAGTAATACTAAATAGTTGTAATTACAATTTATTACATATCATATTGTCTATTTAGCGGTGAAAAGCTACTAATAAGTTATGAAAAAACATTCTTTGTTCCATCAAAGCTTTATAAATTGAATGCTCAAAAAATTACGGAATTTACTGGAAAAAAAAACATATTGAGAATTTCTGAAGAGTTTTAAGTACAGACTTGGTAGTTTGGTGTGAATAAGACTGTGCTCTAAAATGGAGTTTAAGGTTCTTGCACTGCAGCAATACAGGATATGTGGAGTTAAAAATGCTAATAAATAAACATGTTTCTGTGAATTAAAGAGCAAAATAGAAAGAAAATTATTCAAGGACAGAATACACACTAGAAAAAAATGGATTTTCACAATTTTGTAAGCCTAAAAGTTCAGCTGAACAATAAAAATGCCATTAATTGCAAACTAAAAGCCCCGTATTAGGGATGTCTGACTAAAAAGTGGTACCCGGGTTTATAAATACACGAAGGAAGGTTTGTTACTGAGGTCAGACTCCTCACTGGACCTCCACAATGTCATATCGGGAGTTTTATGACTTGTAATCATCAGCTCAGGGTCTGCGGTAATCGTGATGATGGGAGAGGCGACAGAGAGACCAAACAGCAACTCAAAAGGAGGCGAGAAAAAACAAGACGGAAAAAAAAAAAAAAGGATGGACAGAAGCCGGTCATTTTACTGCACACACAAGCCATAACAGAAACTAAGAGCTCTCTTTGTGGGAGGGAGGGGTGAGACCAGAGAGAGACAGGAGGGGAGGCCAAGCCCGAGGACGTCCAGGAAACAAAAACCTTTAGCCTCTGTGTTTACGATGCATGTCAAATAAACGACAATGACCTAAAAACATTTTTTTGGTAGTGAAGATGATATGAGGTGTCGTTAAAAAAATATATATCTGTATGATAAACCTACAGGGGAGGGGAGCCTGGGGATCAATTTGTAAAATGTGTGTATTTTTTTCAGTTGTATTTTTGATTTTTTACGATAACTATTTATTTTCTTTAGGTATGTATTGGACAAATGTATGTACATGTTCCGTTCCTTCTCGACTTCATTTGAACTAGTTTTAAAAGTAAATATGGAAAATGGTCATTCAAATACGCTACTGTATGTGTACATTTTGAGAACAAATTGTGCAATGATTTAACAGATTTCCATGATTAAAGTGATAGTAATACAAATTGAAAATATCATCTGGAAAATAAAGAGTAATGATGATGATGATAATGAAAATGGTGATGTAAAAGAGAAAAAAAAAAAATAAAGCGATCCAGGTGGATCTGCTGATCATCGCAAACTTTCCCCGTTTTACTTTTTACTTATTAATCATACTTTACTCAAGTATTGTTCCTAAGTACAACTTAGAAGCACAGCACTGAATAATATTACAAGTTTGTTAGTTTATGATTCAATGCAAATATTGTATTTTTTTACAAACAAAATTTGCAGAACCTTTGCTTATGATGGAGGATGTTTAGATCTCTGGCTTTGATCTCGATCGTTCTTCCACCTCTGACAGCGTCTTGAAACCGCAAAATGAAATTTCTGACTCATGATGAACAGCATAGCGCTTTTGGAATTCACTTCCGCATCTACATGAGTTAAGTTGTGAGAGAACACTGAGTACAAAGATCCTTTATTACCATGTTTGGCAGGCCAACTGAACAAACCAGCAGATGGTATAATTACCTTGTTTAGGTGTCATTCGTATAATTTACAAACCGCATAGTTTTTACATTCATGAACCACATTTAACAAGTCCCACAGACACAGATGTATCCTGCAGCAAATCATCGGCTTGACTGTGCTAAAATGTGCCCATGCTGTTTGTAAGCATTCGTTGTAATCCACAGGAGTTCGGAGCAGTAAAATGAAGCCTCAGTAGGTGGCGCTGCTTCCTCTTACAAGCCGAGCGGCCCAGAGGCTGGAATTATCATCAGACACTGGAGAGACCTACTACTCCACGAAGACTTCTTCTATAAATACACACAGATATACATAGCTTCATACATAAAGGTATACTGGTGTCATATTGTACACATATATATAAAGGAATATATTAATATCAAAGACATACACATGCTTACATACTAACCAAAAATAACTTAGATTATGAAAGATAAATCATACAAAAACAGTACTTCTTAAAAGTCAAATCTCTATATATGACATTTTTCCCTAAGATCTAGTATTGAGGTCTTCTCGTTTTTTTTGTTTTAAAAGTCAGTGGTAGAGGGAGGCAGCGATGGAAAAAGAGTGGCTTAATGCAGGGAGAGGGAAAGTGCACACAGAAGGATGTCACAGCTGCTCTGCTCTGTGTCACTTTCTACTTCCTGCCATCTCTCCTTCTCCCTCTTTCAGCCTCTCCCCCTCCCCATCAGGACCTCCCTCCCCATCGGCTGGTTCGCTCTGGACAGCAGCACACAGACGCAGGACGAGTCGATCCGGATCCACCTCCATCCGGTTCTGTTGTTTTCATCTTTGGTGAGCGCCCGCACGAACGACTCCTTGGCTTTGCACTCGCTCTTCCACTGTTTCTTATCCACGCCCAGGCAGCCGGCCCCGGCCACGCCTGTCCCCGTGGATCTCGCCGAAGAAGCGCCCTTCGACCTGTCGCTTGGCTGCTCGGCCTGGCGGCAGCGAGTCTCAAAGAAGTACTGTTTGAGCGGTCCAGTCTGAGTCTGGATTTCCTGCAAGATGGTGACCGTTTTTCCATAGGAGTCGATGGCGGTCTTCTTGTCGGTCACCCAAACGCTCTCCGACTCGCACACAGACTTCTCCCCTCTCCGTCTGTCGATCAAGTGCGAGCGTTTGTCCCTTTTGACGGGCCGGACGACCTCTGCCCAGCTCGGCGTCATGCTCTTGTCGAGGGCGCGGTCGCCGTGACCCTCGATGCGTCCGTCCGTGTCCTCCTGGTCCTCGCCGTCCACGTCCTCCTCCTCCAGCAGGCCATTCTCCAGCATGAGCAGAAGAGGCGGGTGTTCCGGAGGCGACGGGGAGGGCGAGAACAGGACTCGAGGGTGAGTGTCCAGAAACATCTCATCTCCTTCTCTGAAAGCATCCAGACCCAGCCCTGCCTCCAAGCTCTCCTCAGTCGGACCTCCTCCCGGTGTCCGCTGGCTGTCCGGTGCGTCTCCGGGCTGCTGTGCCGGAGCAGTCGGCGCTCTCTGAACCTTCAGTGCAGCAGCAGGTGTGACAGCATCATGGTTTCCCACTGCAGAAACCTGCAGCGTTCTGTCTGTGGAGTCCTGAACATTCTCCTTCTTGGCAAAGTCCACAAAACTGGAGTGATCTTGCCTGCTGATGCTGTCAGCTTTGTAGTCCTTTGGTAGAGAATTATCCTCAGATATATCCTCGGTCCTGAGTGTTCCTCCTCCTGCGGGAACATCCAAACTGCTCTTACCATCCCTGCCTGAGTTGCTATGTGACTGGTAGGTTCTGTGATGCTCCACTCTGAACGTGGAAGTCTCTTCGCGCGTGGAGGGTTTCACAAAATCCTCGGGGTTCTGGGGGTCCTGTCTGCTGGCGTGTCGGCTGAGAGCGGCAGCCATGTTGTAGTCCAATTGCGAGGCACTTCCATTGAAGCTGTAGTCCACGAGGGGAGCCGCTGCGTCCTGACGGTGCTCTCTGCGCTTGTCGAAGCCAGGCTGTGTGGTCGCGGCAGCAATCCTGGACACGGGGTTGTGAGGGAAGGGCAGGGCCGAGGCGATCACCATGGCAACCAGGGGAAGCCAGTGCATCACTCCCAAGACGTATCAGCTGGTGTTTGAAAACAGACACAGAGGAAGAGAGACGCGGCGTTATTTTACACAATTGCGGCTTATACAGTTAAACCAATTAAAATGTAAAATGAGAGGTTTTACTGGTGGCCTGCAGCTTTATGGAGCTTTAACTGCTGAGGTATGGCTTTAAAATCTTGGCAGAACTTGTGGAAAAACAGGACCAAGAGGAGGAAAGTCGCCCTGTGTTTCCTCGTGTGGAGTTCAGCTACAAATGCAGCCGATGGTGGAGAGCTGACCTTCATAGGGAGACACTGACAACCTGGTATGTGCGCAAGTTAGAAACTTTACAGCCAAAGGAAATGGATTAAAAAGACATCTGCAACCCGAGAAAACAAGCCGCCCCCTTCAACCTCTAAGACCGCGATTTCTTTTCTTTCTTTTTTTCCATTCTGTTGTTAAAAGCTTTTCTAAGATTCAAGATTCTCTCTGCATTAAACACATCTACTTGTCACAACACACTCAATACAAGAAAGCGCGCCAGCGTAGCAGAACAGTCTTTACCTGATCCCACCTGGGCTGTGGGGGAATTTGTTTGGCTGACCCTGATATAATACTCTACATCTGCTGCCTTTGACTGGGAGAGATTTAGAGACAGAGTGAGCACTATTGTAAACGTCCTGCCTGCCATAACCTGCATTATCTAAACTCTGTGCTGCTTGTAATCACAAAAAAGATTAGTGGTGCTTTTGTGCAGCAAAAATATGGAACAAATACTGAATAATTCCTTTAGGAGGTCGAGTAACGAAACAGGAGGTTTGCAAAAGCAGGAGAGAGATTTAGATTGTCAGAGGCAGCACAGTGTGTCATTAAAATGCTATGAAAGTGTATTTTAGAGCTGCAGCGTTTGATCAGTTTTTGATTAGCTGATCTGCAGAACTATTTGATAAACAATTGTACGAACTGTTTTCTTGTAAAGCTGTTTAAATGTGTCTGATTTGTTTGATAAGTGCTGTATGAGTAGTTTGATTGGGATTTGAATTGAAGCACGGACTAAAGGCGATATTTTAAAATGTTCTTCTGCAATTGGACCAACATTATTTTTTGATTTTCTACAGACCAAAGATTTAGTTGATTAAATGCAAAAACAACCTGCTAATTACGTTTTGTTTTGGAGCCTAAACTACATGTTATCTGCGGCCCCAATGGGATAACCACTCAAACCCCAAAAACTGAGCGACGTGTTTGAAAGGCACGTTTTCTTTAAAAAATAGAAATTTAAAAAAAGGTTAATTACACCATTTATCAAAGCCAGAGGCTGTGAAAACAGAAAGAATCTTTGGATTTTCAGTTTTCCGACCATCCTTAACCAGTTAACAAAATCTAAAAAGAACATCTTGATATTTCAGGAAAATGACTTTTTCCATGTCTCATTTAAAAGTGTTTTTCAAAATAAACCATTTGTAGAAACCAAATTCTGTAGGAAAAAAAAAAAGCTTCTCGCCGCAACTGTGATTCAACGATTGACGCAACGATTGACGCAACGAGTGACGCAACGAGTGACTCAGCTGTGACCAACAGTGACTTGACAAAAATTCAGGAACTACTTGGCTAAACTGCAGCCTGTGTCTACACGGAACAAATAGAAGACAAATATAGGAAACAAGTTAAAAATGTAATTAGTAAATTAACTTTAGTATGT